ATTATCATTCTGGTCGTCGTCCTCATCGTTGTCCTGCCTCCTCCTCCTCCTCCTCGCCTTCGCATCCTCCTCCTCCTCCTCCTCCTCCTCCTCCTCCTCCTACTCCTCCTCCTCCTCCTCCTCCTCCTCCTCCTCTCCTCCGCCTCCTCTTCCTCCTCCTCCTCTTCCTCCTCCTCCTCCTCCTCCGGTTGTGGGGAGAGAAAGCGAGAGGAGGGATATCCGCTCGAATACGGTCCCCAGCCCCCTCGAGGGGTCCAAACGCCTCCGACGCTCCTGCTCCCCAGGGGCCTCAACCTCAGACGACGACAATGACGACGACGAAGACGACGACGACGACGACGACGACGACGACGACGACGACGGCGACGGCAACGGAGACGACGGCAACGACGACGACGACGGCGGCGGCGGCGACAACGACCTCGGCGACACTACGAAATCCTACCGCCCGTCGCTCTCTCGGGGCGGGGCCCCCGGGACTGTCAGAACTCAACCGAGGACGACAAACCGGCCCCAAGGAAGATGTCCGGACAACCAGGGACAGCCAAGGATCCCGTATTAAAATAATCACGGCATCAGATTCCTGGAACCTTCGGGAAGGCTCCCCAAAAAGGCTATGGGGCCATGAAGCAGGTTAAGGGTGTACCGAAATGGGTGTAAGGAACACTGTGGGGCCACGAAACGTGTGAAGGGTGTGTTGAAATCGGCGTTCGTGACACATGCGGTCGGTGGCACTGGGGCCTTCGGTGGAGTTCCGTCTGGGGCCACGAAACATGCGAGGGGTGTGCCGAAACGGGGGTGTGCGTGGCGCATGCGGGCGGTGGCACTGGCCCCTTCGGTGGAGCTGCACGGGGCCGCGAAACGTGTGAGGGGTGCGCCGTAAATGGGTGTGCACGTATGCGGGCGGTGGCACTTGGGTTTTCGCTGGAGTTCCTTTTGAGGCCACGAACAGTGTGAGGAGTGTGCCGAAATGGGCATGCGGGCGGTGGCACTGGGGCCTTCGGTGGGGATCCTCCTGATGGAGCCGCGGAACATGTGAGAGTGTGCTGAAATCGGCGTTCGTGACACATGCGGTCGGTGGCACTGGGGCCTTCGGTGGAGCTCCGTCTGGGGCCACGAAGCGTGTGACGGGTGCGCCGAAACGGGGGGGTGCGTGACGCATGCGGGCGGTGGCACTGGCGCCTTCGGTGGAACTCCCTGTGGGGCCACGAAACGTGTGAGGAGTGTGCCGACATGGGCATGCGGGCGGTGGCACTGAGGCCTTCGGTGGAGATCCTCCTTATGGAGCCGCGAAACGTGTGAGGGCGTGCCGAAATGAGCGTACGTGACGCATGCGGGCGGTTGCAATGGGAATTTGGTGGAAATCTCGATGGGGCCACGAAGCGTGTGAGGGGTGATGGCGATGATCACGGCACTGGTGATGATGATGGTGGTGATGAGGGCGGTCGCGATGACGACGATGATGGTGATGTTGTTGGTGATGACGATGACGATGCTCACGATGGTGATAATGACGGGAGGGAGGAGGGGGAAAAGGACGAGTGAGGGACGCGGGGTGTTGCCTGTACAAGACGAAGACCCAACACCACAGGATGGTTGGGAAAAGAACGGCAGCACATAGTGTAGCAATGCGGGCTGGCGGCGACTCCGCGGCGCCGAGCTCGAGCTCATTGCTGGCGGTCAGCTTGGCAGGCCTTTGAAACTTCCAACCTGCCTGTACGGCCCGAAAGATAGAATCTGCCCTATGGCTCCTGGCCGCGGACGCCCATCCTCTGTCAGGGGGGATATTCTGAACGCGCTTCTGGGAATACTCGCTGATGAGGCAATTCCTTCGGGCCCAAGGTGTTCGGAGCCCGAATCTGGGCGCCCGCAGTCATCCGCCACCCTCGGCAGCATGCGCCGGCCTGGCGCAGCGGTCCTGCAAGCGGCTCGAACAGCCAACAGACATTGACGTCCGCGCCAAGCGACCACGCGACCAGAATGCGCGCCGTTTGCACGGGTAGCTTCTCAAGCTCCTAGGGCGAGTGGCCCTGGATCCTCTCCATAGCAAACAGACGCCGCGCGCTCTCTTCAACTGGTTTCCCGAGTTCGCGGACCCGCAGGCGACTCGCGATGGGAAGGCGTCTCGCGGTCACTATCCAGCGTTTCGTCTCCTGGGCCCTGCATCCCCTCGTAGCCCTGACCTTGCACGCGTTCCAATCCACACCCAAGTTAATTCTTGAACTCCCAATGGCCCCTGAATGCTCCCCAAGAGCCTGCGGAACTTGCTTCATGACCTCGCGACGGCTAGCCGCGCAATTAAGCTTTTCATGTGGATCGGGAGCTCCAGGACATAAGTAAACGGATGGAATGCTCTGCCTGCCGCGTCAGCTAGACCGCATGCACAGTTCTCCACCGCGCCACCGACCGAGTCGAACGATGAGTCGTCGATGTGAACCGAGATACTCGTGCCATCATCGATCGCGGGGTCGTGCGTCGCTAGAATCACGCGCCCTTTCACCCCGAGGGTCGCCGTAGACGCTCCTGCTACAATGCCGCGACTGGGGATGAGGGTCTTGCCGGCGGCATTGCCCATGAGCAATCTCCACGGCCAGCAATGAGAATCCAATGACGCTTGCAGCGCGAACAACGGGGAATCGCATCTAGCTCCTTCCGTCAGCATCACGCGATGACTGATGCGCACGCAACGCCGCTTCAAATCTGCCGAGAGAATGGCCGCGCACTTGCCTGAAAGGTCGGCGATGCGCGACCGCGCGACCGCCCCCGGACACTGTCCGCGGCGCGGCTGCGCGGGGCCACGTTGGGATGCTTCGACTCGGCTGAGACCCGGCCCCGCAATCGGCAATGGCGCGCGAGACTCTTCGAATGGACTCTGCAGAAACTCTCGAAAAAGCCGACTGGCCCTTCTGCCGCCTGTTGCCTTTCGACATGGGGGGCGATCACCCCCCTCAAAGCGGTCGGACTGATGCCTCGAATGTGCATGATATTGACCGGCCTCTTCCAAAACCTCCAGGGCACCTTCGGAGAACCTCGGGAAGTGCTCGGGGCGCAAACCGTCGGCCGCCGTCGCGACAAGCGCGAACCCGGATGTGATCGCGCGTGCTCGATCCTGAGAAGGGCCCCGATAGATACTGCAGTCGGCCCGCAGGGGGCCCCGGAGACCAGCCTCAAGAACATGCGCGCGCCAAGCTTTTGTCCAGATGTCCCGCTGTTCCTGGAAACGAAAACCAAGAGCAGACGATCGAGCTCCGTCGGCATGCTGAACTGCACCCTCAACGTACCCAGCGGATGCCATCGTGCTACCATGAACCCTCTTGGCTCCTCCAGCTCAGACTTCCTCGCGCCAGCCTCTCGGCGGCGCCCCCCCTCTCTTGCATACTATGCATGTGTATGTATATATATATATATATATATATATATATATATATACATACATACATACATATTTGCATACATATATACAGATTCAAGAAGCCCCCCAGAATCGGCCCCCACTTCTCCACGCCCTTAGTGAAGCAGATCCGCCATCGGCGAGGGCGAGCCCGGTCAGTTCGGCGCAGAAGGCGCGCCGGGGCTCGACGCGGCTCTCCCGCGAGGTCCTGGCCGGACCTCCTCGCGCAGGAAGCTGAATCGCATCCTTGGCCAGATGGTAAACTTGCTTCGGAACATCGGCTAACTGAGCTTTTCAACTGTTTCAGCCGACGAATGGCCCTCGAAATGCACGGACTCTCTCTCTCTCTCTCTCTCTCTCTCTCTCTCTCTCTCTCTCTATCTCTCTCTATATATATAAATATATTTGGGCAGAAGGCTCCTGGAAGTAATGGGTACTCTTGAAAGCCGAATTGCCTCGAGCATGTAGGGTTGGCCCCCTTCAAGGCCAGCCTGGTCTGAACGCTGACGCTCGTATTCGAGCTCTTCCCAAGTCGTGGAAGCCCAGGCAGGGTAGACTGTGTCCAAGACGGCCTGCAAGACAGCGCGTTCGCCGCATCCGGTCGGCGCCCTGAAACCCGTTTCTAGTGGGCGGCGAAACTCCTCGAGCAGGTCGCCCACCCCCTGGGATATGTCATCGCATCCAAGAAGGGGGCCCGAGGGGCCCATTGGGGGCTTGGCGGGTGCGTTTTGGGAATTGACAACCCTTTGCGCCCAGAGGTCCTCCGTCGCGCTGCACGAAGTCGCGCTAACTGACGCGCGCGGAGGCGCGTCGGCACTCTCTCCCACAGCCGTGCCCTCGAGACTGCAAGCGCGCTTCCTGCAGACAATGAAATGATCGATCGTTGCCCGATTGCCCGAGGTGGGGCACGTGGGGCACGAAGGCGCGCAAGTCTCCCCGCCGTACTTGTCGGGCCTCAAGCACCCGCGCCGCGTCTCGCGGGTTTACGTTGAAACCACCGCCCGCGACGAGGAGAACTCCCCAGCGAAGTACATGGGGCCCAAGACTCTTGGAGAAACCTAAGTTGGCCTGTCCAGGCCCGATGGAATCAATCCAGTAATTCCAATATTGGCTGGCAGCCCCAAATCTCCAAGCCCTCAGGAAAGGGCGCGCTATTCACCCACGAGCCGAGACGCTAGCTGAGACGGATGGTTACCAATAACCTAAGAACGCCCGCGCGCTAGGACGCCCCCCCCCCCCCCCCCCCCCCCCTCGGATTTGCAAGTCTGGGCGGTGCCCAGGCAAGGGCAGCAGAAGCTAGCCCGCGCTGGGAGACTCAGGGCGCGCTGGGCGCCTGGAATATGAGGAGCTCTAAATCTGCGCCCCTTTCTAAAAAAAATACGCCCGTGAACTTTTTGGCGCGCTGGTGAAACATGTTTGCGCTGTCTTCAACGAGGACGCGTTGGCTGCGACAAAGGTAAACTGGCTGCTACCCTCGCTGCTTCTCCTGCGCGGCCTGCGCAGAGGCATTGGCTGCAGGGGTCGCGGGGGCTTGGCCTGACGAAGCTCGCTCGAAAGTTGGCGGGGGGGACCTCGACCTCTTCACTGCGCCCACTGCCCATTCTCCGCCTCCTGCAGCACGTCGCTGGGGAGGTCCGCGGGGAAGCGGTCCGTCCACTGGCGCATCCACTCCTCCGTCTGGGGCGGGGACTTCGGCGGCGAACATGTCCGTGATCTGCTTGAAAGCAGCGGCCAGCGTGGCCTGCTCGTCGGGCACCGCGGCGCCGACTTTCCGCTCGCATGCCGCCAACAAATCATCAGCATGCACATCATCAAGAAGACGCGGTTTTTGCGGCTCCTGCACTGCTGGTGCTGCTCTGGCCGCACCTACTGCCTTTTCGGCCTTGTCGATATTTGTCTTCGTCGCCTCGCTGGTACTTCTTCTTGTTTGACGTGCTGGCGGGCGCTGACCACTCTGAGCTGGTGCATTCATAATTGTTCCTCGCGCTTCTCGAGCTGCTTCTAGTGCTTGATGTCATTGTCTGCTGCGGCTTGGAGCTGGGCACTGATGGGCTTGGCCGCAATACGCGTGTCTCGCATGGTCTGGAGGGATTCATCCAAAACCTTCTGAGCTGGGGCACCGCGCCCTCCAAGCCTGCGCATGATGTCGAGGGCTTGCTGACAGATCTGGATATGCTGGCCGCTGGCCCGTGACAACAGGGACTGGTGAGGCAACCCCACGGTTGCCTTCCACCTCCATGGGGACCGTCCCGCCCTCGGGAGCCAAAGGCGCTGGCATGGCTACGGCAGTGGTGGGAGTGAGGCCTGGCGGAAGGTCGTCGCCCGCCCGTTGCCCTCCAGTCCCCTTGGGGACCTCTTCCGGTCGGCCTTTGGGCTGGCTTCCGACACCACTCAGCGTCTTGGCTTTCCTACCCTTGGTTTCTTGGACCCCGTCAGAAACTGAGATTTTCCTCTTGGCCTAGAATCGCCAACACCATGAAATCCGCCGGCCCCCTTGTGGGGCCACCAGGCTGTAGGAGCGAGGTTTGCAGTTTCCTGTGCCAGTTGTAGCTTGTAGTTTCCAGTGTTACAGTTCTGCTTCTTGCTGGCTACTGTAACTAATTTACTTATTGCTGGTTACTGTAACTAGTTGATTGACCGCGCGAGGGGGGGGAGGCCCAAACCGGCTTTTTAGCACCCCCTGGGCGCGTTGTCTGAATTGCTGGGGGGGGCTCGAAATCGACACCCCTCACGCAGATCCGCGGGGTCAGGGTCCAAAAACACAGGGGATTTGCAACATTTCTGAAATCCGGTGCCACCCCTCACGCAGATCCGCGGGGTCAGGGTCCAAAAACACAGAGGATTTGCCACATTTCTGAAATTCGGTGCCACCCCTCACGCAGATCCGCGGGGTCAGGGTCCAAAAACACAGGGATTTGCCACATTTCTGAAATTCGGTGCCACCCCTCACGCAGATCCGCGGGGTCAGGGTCCAAAAACACAGGGATTTGCCACATTTCTGAAATTCGGTGCCACCCCTCACGCAGATCCGCGGGGTCAGGGTCCAAAAACACATGGGATTTGCCACATTTCTGAAATTCGGTGCCACCCCTCACGCAGATCCGCGGGGTCGGGGTCTAAAAACACAAAGGATTTGCTACATTTCTGAAATTCGGTGCCACCCCTAACGCAGATCCGCGGGGTCAGGGTCCAAAAACAAATCGGATTTGCCACATTTCTGAAATTCGGTGCCACCCCTCACGCAGATCCGCGGGGTCAGGGTCCAAAAACACAGGGGATTTGCCACATTTCTGAAATTCGGCGCCACCCCTTACGCAGATCCGCGGGGTCAGGGTCCAAAAACACATGAGATTTGCTATATTTCTGAAATTCGGTGCCACCCTTCACGCACATCCATCGCAAGGCGTGGTAATCCAAACTGCGAGAACTCCCTCGGCCCTTTAATCGCAAGATGTGGTAACCAAGCCCGTAAACCATACACGTCTTACCAATCGCCAGGTGTGGTAACCCCTCTTGTGATCAGTTGGTTGTGCTGATTGCGAATCGGCTTCGCATGAAGTTTCGATACTGCTTCACGACAGCGCCAAGGCCTCATGACTTAGCTCTTCCATGGCCCATTCTCCGAGAGAGGGGGCCGGCGGCAGGGGGCGAAGCCCTTACGGATATTCCAAGAGACAGGGGCGGCACAGCAGCTGCAGGGCCATCTGTATGCCTTCGTAGGGGAGGTGTTCCAGGGATACTTCTGATTCCAAGACATCGCGGGATGCGAGAAGATATCGCACCTGTTCGTCACCTGCTCTGGGCAGGTAAGAAAGAAACGATGCAAGATTCGGAGGCCCAGGTCGCGCCGACCAACCTCGAGCCCAAACGGCTTGAGCCAAGCTACGGCCTCCCCCTCTCATCCTCCTCTCCCCCTTTCCCCCTCCTCCCCCTCTCCTCCTCCTCCTCCTCCTCCTCCTCCTCCTCCTCCTCCTCCTCCTCCTCCTCCTCCTGATCCCTGGTTGCTGCTGCCCTCCTGATGCCAAACCGCTGCTCCACGTCCTTGGCGTCCGCAGCGGCGGGGGCCCGCCCGGCCATCGCCGGCGGCGCGGCGCGCCAGCGGGCGGCAG